TATCTCTAGAATTGAAAGAAATATTTAAATTTAACGGATTTTATTTTTTTGTTGCATTATTTATGATTGCCACTGTAGCTTACATTGTATTATCATGGTCGAAGTTTAAATAAACTCTCTTTCCGTGAAAAATTACTCCATGGACAAAGTGTAATAATCATATACGGCCGTGTAATTATTATAATTTACCGTTCAGCATATTTTCGTAGAAATTTATTTGCAAGTAAAACGACAACAGATGGAAAATTTAGCTCATATAAATCTACCAAATATCTAACACAATATCTTTGAAAATATTTTAAAGTAAATCGTTTAATAAGTAAAAGTCACATGTTTGTCTTTGGTTAAACCAATTAATTAAACGAGAGAATTTAACGATTAAGAAATTGATGTTTTGAAGCATGTGTTGAGGTGGAGACATGCACAGAATCTTCACTTTTCAGTTCCTGAAGCTTTATCGGATAATGATTATAAGTCAATGGAAATTACATTACGAAAAATTTTACCTTTATAATTATCATCAATAGAATTCTTGAGAAAGGTCAATTTACTTTTTTTAATTAATTATTTATCACTAAATATTTCTTTATATTTATTACTGATTATTTTTATTAATGACTATATTTTCTTTATAAATTATTTTTTACTATATAAAGATTGTTAAGAATTATTTTGATAATCTTAATATTAATTCTCTTTATTAATTTAATATTTTTTAATAAATATATATTAAATAATATTTTTAATAACAATAAAAATTAATACATTTTTAAAATTAGCAGGTAAAATTTGCCTTCTAGACAATATAAGGAATATAAAAATATGTGGTAAATTTTTATTATTTTAAGTAAGATATTTACAAATTGATTAAAATATTATTTTATATATGATAATAAATAGAGAAAAATCATTTGTAAAGTATAAAAAAATTATTAAAAATATTAAAGAAGGTAAAATTATGTAAAAATAAAGATAATATGAAATGTAGTTTATATGTGAACAAAGTAGCAGAAAAGGAAGAAGCAAAAGATAAAATGTTATGAATAAAACTAACGTCTAATATTATATAAATAATATTGCAATATATATTAATATTTAGTTTTTTTTTTCTTGATATATAATATTAAAATCTCTATTAAAATAATATAAGAGTTATTGTAATAGCTTTAAATAAGAATTTCCATTAAATTTGTCTTATATTAAATATGATAGCTATATAATTTTTTATTTTTATAAAATATTTTTTAAGTAGACTTGATTATAATACAAACACAAATTAAATTGTATATAATTTAAAATATAATGATTATATAATAAAAGATTTTATATATTTAAAAATGCTTAATGTATTTCTTACAAATTTTAGATATATATTAAATAATAAATTATATATTGAAAAAGAATATTATTTTACTGGTCTTTTAAAGCTACTCTTCATTAATTTGACTAATTCCTACTGTAAAATGGTTTAATGGAAATAATGTACAAGACTTAAAATATGGTAAGGAATTAATTCTGAATTACATGAAAATAGTAAAAGTTTCTTCAATAAGTCATTCAATGAGGATGAGAAAACAAGATAATATTGATGTGAATAAAAATCTATCACATGTACAACCAACTTTGGATAATTTTACATATATCAATCATCAGGGAGGAAAATCACATGAAATCCTATTGATATAGCTATTGATGTTTTTAATCCTAGATTAGAAGATTGAATCGTTTATATGTTAATCAAAAAATGCTAAATAATAGATATTAAACAATATCAAGAAGTGATGAATATTGCAATACTTAATTTTTCTGATGAATGCAATGGACATGTAGTTAGGTTCCAAGTGTTCACAAGTGTTAATTGTATAAAATGTGGTGTCGCTATTGCTTTAAATATCACGTATATTTATGTCGCGAAGTTATAACAAAATTCTTGGCTCACATTCCAACATTCGCAAGCCAGATTTCTTAAAACACCATAGAATCCTTGAGATTTAAACTCGGCCATAAGGTACGAATTTTCTAATTTCAGAGTTTATTTAAAATATATTTTCGCATGATAACAATATGTACAACACAAAACAATTTCACAAAGATCCAGAAAAATTTGAAAACAGTTGAAGCGTGATCTAATGAAAGGAACTCTGCGAAGAGAATTCGATTGTTTAAGATTAATATGAAGGCCACATATCGTTAAATTAGATTAACTTCGAGAATTGGATCTCATTGAATAAACTCAAAATTTATTATTTTGCGTGGATTTGTCATAATCTGTATATTCTGTAAGCTAAAATAAAAGTCAGCACAATAATTCACATGATAAATATATTGATAATCTTATTTCACCATAAAAATTGTAAATCCATGTAAAATTCTTTTTTATTATGACAAACCGCTGAAATAAGCTACAAAGAGCCCAAGCATAATACTATTTTCATATGTTTAATTCCATTTATTGACAATATATTTTCTAATTCCGGCAAATGCTCCTAACGCCTCCAGTCTTTCATCTGGTTTTAAAATGTTCAAACCAGCCTTTGGATGCTCATTTTCTGGCCATCTTTGAATAACAACGGACTCTTTAAGTGGTAAGTGTAAATCAAGTTCATTAAAATATTTTGCAGAGATTACAGCTTTGTAAAATGTAAAGTAGGTGGAGATGACGCGAACACCAAATATAATTTGATCCGACATTACGTCAGATTTACGTAGTGCAAGTTCACGCATATTTTCACTCCCACATGCGAGCAACTCTGCTGCTAATTGTGCTTCCCCATAACCTTTTGAAGGAATAAGTGCAGCATTTCTCAGCTGTTTATCCTGTTAAGAAAGTAATTTGAGTAAACAAAGTAGAATTTTCAAAAATAATCAATACTACAGACCTCGACAACAAGCTCATTAATATCTTCCCAGTCAACCAAGTAATCGGGTATCGCTGTAACATAAGGCTCGCCTGTGATGTTCAATCTGCATCGCGGGTGGGTTCTAATTTTAGATATAATTTAAAAATAATTGCTAGAACGCATCCAAAAAAAGATTTTTCTCATAATTTCTCACCTAATTCTTAAAGGATAGGCATGAAATTCAAAAATATTACCCAGTATATTATTTACCAATGTGTCAATTTGGTCTTCCGTGGTTACACTCTCCTTTATAACTTTGTTTAAATCGTTTAAGAATCCTTTGACATATTCGTCCGAAATGTCTTTAAGATTCTTAGCTTTAAATTCTCTGTTTGCAAGTGTTTGGATATCAAGTTGGGGAAGAAGAAATTTCTCAAAAAGACTAATGTCTAAATAATATCTAAATTATTATCTTTCTGTTCACCTTAAGGTCGTTGAACGACATAGTTCGTACCTTTTATATCATAAGGGATGACATCGCACTTGAGAGCCGGCTGGAAGCTCACGTTTAGCAATTGCAAATCATTTATATTGAAAGATGAAGCAGAAGTGTTGATTTTTCCGTTAAATCCTTGGCAACTAAGTTTGGTATAGACTAATTTACGTGATTTTTTAAGAGAATATTCAAATAAAATGGCAGTAGATGAGAAAAGTACTGCTGGCTGAAGAGTAGGGTAAGAAATCTTTGTAACGAGACTGAATAAAAAAGACATTTTTTTTTATGGATAAATATTTTGTGTTTGTACTGTATAGCGTTATAAACTTCTCATGTGAAAATTACTTGGCACATGAAGTAGTACAGTGACGCTGATGAAATATTCAATACTTCGAGTATAAAAAAAAATTATCTTAGATCAAGATTATCAAATAAGCAACACTACATGTTATTATTTGCAGAATTTCGATGCGATTAGGATTTTTACCAATCCGGATCACAATTATAACCTTCTTCTGGTGCCAGCTGTTTAATATTTCTTAATAAAGCGGCCAAAACGGTTCGCTTGGTTTTAGACCGGTGTTTATTGGGTTGACTATGATCAATTATTTTATGAAGAATATTTAATACTGCGTCTGCATACATTTATAACTGCTGTTTACAATAATTTAAGATATTGTACGGTTATTTATTTACATTGGTTAACGTCACTTCGTGACGTTAACCGATGTCAATAAAACATAGTATGGCTAGTGCAAATCCGCGCGAAAATGATAAAAAAGTATTGTAAGTTTTTATTTTAGGTGTTAAATTTCTAAACTTTCGGTTTCAAGTATTAAAATAATTTTTTTTAATTGCATTTTGAAAGTTGAAAGAAAATTAGCCATTTGAAAAGCGTACATTGTTTAATTTAAGATAATAATAGTTCAATATTTCCAATTGTGCTTTTTACAATATTTATGCAGCTGAAAAATAATTTTATCTTTAAAAATGATAGTCAGAACTTTACCACTTGGACTATTTATTACCTCAGATAAGCTTAAAATCACGTTAGAAAGGTCATCAATTTGCTAAAGCCGATTCTTCCACAAATAAGTTTAACTACTACAAAAAAAGTCAATTATTTTATGTAAACATAATATACTAGCACTTGTATTAATTAAATGGTGGAAATATTTATAGTTCTTTAATTCAATATTGAAGCAAATAAGCTAATAATATTAATTGTATAATATAAATGAAATATTGGCCAATTTCAATAATAAAATATTATGTCTGATAACATTGAACCAATTCTCAAAGAACAAAATACCTCACCTGTTTGGAAATTTTGAATTCGTAATAATAAACATGTTTTATATGTTTATTCGTTAGTGTTGAATTGTACATGATCAAATGAAAATAAGTATTTTCGTAAAATGCTTAATTTTTTGATCCTCGAGCGAGTTGTAATATTGCAGTTGCGATTTTAAAATTAGACCAATAAATTTCCAAAGTAGCTACAATCTGCAATAATGTACAAAGTTTGTTTAGGTGAGCTGAGCCCTTCTTTAAAGTTGGTTTGTTTTACAAGAACGCATTATTCCATTTATGCGTCGTCGCTAATTTTTTCTTTGTTGATTGCGTCCAGTCATGTGACTTATATGACAAAGTTAACGAAGTTGACGGAGTTAACAGAAAAGTTGTCATATTAGATATATATTTGATAAACTATACTTATAATATTTGTTATATTCGTTTAGAGTTATTATATTTATTATAGTTATTATCCTTATTAGATTTTCATTAATCGGGAATATATTATTATTAGTATTTTTATTTGTATAAATATCTTATTCCTCTTGAGTTGAAAACTAACTCGAGATAGGACTTTAGAATAAACCAAGAGTCAATAAAGGAATATTATTAGTTCATTTGCTATTACCTTATGTCGTATCTTCACATAAGCGTGATCGTGATAAAAGTCCTTTAATTTACCGTCACCATGTCAACAATGTCAGATCATGCTTTGTTATCAAACTTTATCAAGATATATTTAGCATTAGGCATCAAAATTGAAATTCATTAAAACTCGACAAAACCATCTCAGTCTTTTGCCAAATTGTGATTAGGGTTTTGCCCAGCAACTTTAATTTAATATAACAAGAATTTATGAAAGTGATTATCAGGTAAAAATATAAATAATTACTTTATGTTACCTTGATTAATTTCACCTTTTTTTTAATATAACCATGTTACTTTTATCCTAATAAGTTCGTCGAATATATCAGATGATTCAATAATGCTGATAACAGAATTTATACATAGAAGACATGAGAAAAGGAAGTATATGGATTATGTGAAAAATGTTTAAGAATGAGTACAGGTCGTCCCTGGTGACAGCCTTGTAACGCAGAAAGATAATAAGCAACTGATCAATGATCCAGTGGTCGATAAATTCATAAGGAAATCACAACTTAATGCTGTGCACGATTTCAAAGTATAGAATGGTTTCAATAATCAAAATAATTCAATGGAACTTTTTTTTTTCTATTGTAGCATCTTCTACGGTTGAACATTGCTCTAAACCCTTTATAGTAACATCATCTAGTAATTTACGCAATAAATTAATGTGCTAGATAAAGCAGAACCCATTAATAAAATTTTCTAACTAAAGATCATAGCAGTTTCTATTTGCGAAGGTTTAAGAATTTCGTTAAAATTTATTATTTTTTTTTTTGAATTTAAAGATCAAAACCTTTTTTTTTAATAGGTAATAAAAAAATTTTCTATAAAATAATTTTCTATACCTTATAAATTTGATTAATTTACCAGAATCCTTTATAAAAAGTTAGCATCTATATACTCTACCAATATGACGTGTCATAGACCATTGACATTAATCTTGTAATTGTTATTGAATAGTAAAAAAAAAACCTAAAAATTTAATTTTTACAAAATTTATGAAGTCAATAAATTGTTACATAATTTTAGGATGAAAAGCAGTTGATCTATCATATCACATTAAATTCTTAGTAGTTTTTTCTTTTTGTTTATTTATTTTTAAACTTGATTAGGCTGGTATGCGGCGACTTTGTCGCCGTTAGGTATGGTTATCAGATTCGACTCTAAGATTCGATTTTCGATTAATCGAGTATAATCAATTTTATGAGGAACTTAAACCTACATTTTTGTTTTTCATCTTTCCTAACAAATGCAAAATCGTCTTTACTTTTTTTCACGCGAAAATTTTAATTAATCAACAACCTTGCTCAATTTGTTTTCTAGTGATCCATATCCTTTATATTTACCTTCGCCATAGCACCAAATTGTTTCCAAACTTGATGACAAACGTCTCACACCATCATCAATATTAGTTCAACCAATTTCTAACTACTTAGTTTACTCAATTTTTCCAAAGGCCATGGAAACGATTGTAATTATTATCGGCAATTCTTCGCTGGTGATTTCCTATTCACAATGATCTCATTAATATCATAAATTCTATTAGGCAAACCTTTTTTTTGACAGCTAAGTATTCTTATAATCTTTTCACGGAAATCTTTTATTTCACAAAAATTTGTGGCGTAGCTAACTGTAATTATATAAAAACAATTTAAAAAAAAAATTCGGTTATTAAAATTAAATTAAATTAAAAAGAGCTCGCAGGGATTAAAATATAAGAAAATTAAGAAAAGATAATTCGAAGTTCAAAGCTAAAATAGTTAATTAAATTGCGAATATTAAAAATTGAAAAATAATTTGGAATTGAAAAAAGAATACATTCGAAAAAATAATTAATAAAGTTAATTACGATAAAAAAAAAATCGCACTAATAAAAATCAATTAAAACATTGATAAAATTATAATAAAATAATTAAAAGAAAATTTAATAAAAATTAAGAAAACAGAAAATAAATAAATAAATTACATTTAAAAATAAATTAAATAATTTAAATGTCAATTAATATAAAATTTATCATTAAAATTGAAATTAAATAATAATATATAAATTACAAAATTACGAGTTAATGTTAGAATCAGGATTAGGGTTAGAAATAGAGTAAGATTATGTCTTTGTTATATGGGTTGATTTCTAGGAAAATCAGGTTCCGGGAATTTTTTAGCAAAATTGAGATTTTTATTGCATTTTAGTTTTTGATGTTATTAGATTAAAATGTATTAAGCTCTTAATTTTAGTCAAAAATTTCTCGGAACCTGATTTTCCTAGAAACACTCCCATATTTATGTTACAATCTTAAAAAATTAAGTTTTTAACACCTATTTCACGTCGCGTTAGCGAATCCTCGGGATATTGCCCGATAAAACCGCTTGAATTATGAAAATCAATTATTTTAACAATACAATTTAAATTTATAATAATTAGTTTATTCAATTTTAAACATGAATATTTGTCAAAATTTTTCATTATTTCATATAATTTGTAACTAAACCTTTTTAATAATTGTACTGCGTCATGTGATATACTGTATATGTCATTTTACGTTCAAAAATAGATTCGATTTTTTTATACGATCGATTTCGATTAATTTGACTTTATTAGAATCGATTTCAATCCTCAATCGAAACCACAACTTGGTTTACATTTAAAGTTAAAATTTTAAATAATTTAGTGCACAAAAATCGCGATTTAGATTGTTAATGAATGAAAATTTCACTTTTACTTGTAAAAAGGATCCAAGATCACAAGAATTTAGGAATAATTAAAAAAAAATAAGCAAATCTAGTTAGCCATTCAACACACCACGAATTAAAATTTTAATAAATTTGAAAAAGGAAATCATTCAATCATTAAAAGGAAACTAGCGGTTGTGCCCGGGCGATGCCCCGGGGATTAGCTAATATGACGTGAAATTATTTTTTAAAGTTTTTAGCATTATCAAAATTTAAAATAAGTAATATAATTTATTAATGTTTTTTATAAATCTAAACCTAACCCAAATATTTACACTAACTCATCATTGTTTATTATAAAACATAAACGACTCTAACTCCTAATTCAAATATTA